ATAAATTGACATCCTCCCTCTGGGCATGATTTGAGAAATCCCATCATTCTGCTTTTGAAAACTTGAAATGTAATAAATGAGTTCAGATGAAATTTAATTATAGTTCTTAAACTGTAAGCCTCTAGAAATGGGTATGGCCACTGTAACTTCCACCTCTTGAAATAGAAGAGCCACAAGAAGCTGGAATAAAATTTGACCTCTTGAGTGTGACCACCATCTGAAGAAAATCTACAGTTGCAAAATCATTTTTCTTCTCATTTTAAAAACAATATTTTCCTTACTTGAACACAGAACCAAGAACCCAGCATTTGTTACCTGCCTAGGTGAGGTCATTAGCATCCTGTGGATGGCAGTGGTTGACAGGCACACCTGCGGGGAACTTGAATCAGAATCTTACCTCTGGCTTTGGAAGCCCTGGCTCTCCATAGCAGATCCTTCTCTTGAAATAAGCTTGACATGGGGACCTCACAAAAACAGTGCTCTGGGAACACTGGGTTTTTAAAACACAGCTAAAAGTGACAGAGCATCTCAGTGTTCCTCCTCCAAGAGTTCCCCTTGCCTCTGGGTATGCTGCATTCTGTCCACACCCCGCCAGTCCGGCATATCCAATGCCCTGGCAGGCACGTCCCCTCCAGACATGGGTTCATGGCTTGAGTTGTTCTCCAGCTCTCTGAGCACTGTTGGTTCCAGCTAAGGGTGGTGAAACCTCACATTGCCCAAAGACAGGGACTTGAGTGCGGCAGATACCGGGCAGCCACAGAGAGTTCTGTCTTATTCTGCGAAGGTGGTGGCTGATGGCTTTCAGATCCCAACTGCAGGTTGCCTAAGATGCCTGTAGTTAGCAATGGCCTGACATTCACGAAGTTATACATAATTAATTCATAGTTTTGATGTAAAGTTGAAACAAGGAAGACTACTTTTCAAGCGACTCTTACCTATGCAAACAGCTTGCAACTAAAGGCGAGTTCCTGCTGCCTGCATCCAGCATTTTTCGCCTCTTGACCTAGACCCCTACAGCCAAGTGCTATCGTGCATATTTACTGATTCAAACTTAAAATCTCTGAGATGACATCTGTGTTCTGCTGAGACTATCTGCTCTCACGAGTGCCTAGTTGCTCCAGAGTGCGTGTGCCGTCCCTGTGAATGAGGCTGGCCTTTACACACTGGGAAAGTTTAGCCCCACAGAAATCTAAACAGCTCCCCCAATCACTGCAGGCCTCTCTCCCTAAGGCTACTCTGTCAGAAACAAGTTTAACAAGGAACTGATTGATCCAGGGTTTTGAACTCGGCTCTCCCTGGCCAAAGGTCTGCTTCGTTTGTCCAGAGACTCCTTTCTGTGTAAGCTGTTAGCATTTGTCTCTGCTTGTGCCAGGACTCCGCAGCTTCAGAAGGTATCCGAGTGAGACTAAAATAGCCCTGCCACTGGGACAGAGAGAAGCCCATTTGGCTTGTGCCTCGTTATTTGTCCCTCAAATGGTTCCTAGTTGTGACGTCAAGACTGCCATTCAGCACGGAGCAAAAGGAAACCGTCGCCTGTCTGCATCAGTAGCCTGTAGGAACTGCTGTTTCTAAGGCATCCAAAAATGCTCTCTGGCAGAGCTGTGCATTCCATGCCTGGGTGACCTGGTTAAATGGAGGAAACCAAATGCTGTTCCCTGAATGGTCTCCAAGACAAACCTTCCACCCAGGCATCTCAAGCTTAGGCCGCACAGCCTCCAAGGACTGAATGGCTAGGCGGAATTTCTGGGCCAAGCTGCTTGTACATTCAGCTCCTATGCAGCCTCTGAGTCGGGAACAGCATTAGCATTGGCCTTGGTTAGCAGTCTCCTCAACATCATTACACTGTGTCAGGTCAGTACTGCAGGATCCCTCCTGGCAAACAAATGCTATGTTTTGTTTGGTTTTAGAAAGTCCTTTTGGAATCACACTCAGAAATGTCAGCTGGTGAATGACTATTTCCTTCATCCAGCTCTCATTTCCACCCCCAGCGTGTATGCATGCATGTTGGTCATAATTCCTTACTCTTCTTACCTAGTGCATACGTGCTTTTGTTTGTTTGTGTTTTTATGAAGAGCTGCACTTTGCTCTGGGGAAAGGGAGCAGTCAAAACCGTGTGTGTAGGGAAAAGCTCCCACCTCGTCTGTAAACACCGTAATCCTATGTGACCCAACACTGCCTGATTGTGTTTTGATCCCTTACAGTAATGGATGCCTCAGATCTACCAACTGAAGGCTGAGTCACCCTCTCAGGCTGTGCTTCCTTGAGTTTCTTTCTGGCATGGAAGACACTTTATTTTGTGAGCCTCCAAAATGAATGTTTCAGTCACTAGGAGAAGCACAGGGTATGGCAAACCACACCGTATTTCAGGGTTGGTTGAGACAAGTCAATATGTGTTTAAGGTTTTGCATTAGAAATCCCATCCAGCCTTTCTCTAAATACCCACTCTGTAAACCTCGGACTGAGGGATGTTGGCAGAACCAAAACCACTTAACCTAACACATGCACAAACGTAGATGCACATTTCATGTCAGAGTCTTGATATCAAGTGAGGCCTTATTTTGGAGACGGTCTTGGCTGTATAATCCAGACTAAACTCAAATTCACTTCAGTCCTCCTTCATGCTGGGATTGTAGGCGTGAGCCAACACACCTGGCTCACTGGAGCCATTTTATGTATGGACTGGGTTTTTTGTGGTTTGGTTTTGTTGAGATGGGCTCTCTGTATGCTTTCCATAGCTTGCATCAGCCTCCAGAATATTGGCATTACAGGTCTGTGCCACAACCAGATGGTTTGTTTGAGATGGTCTTGTTCTGTAGCCCAGGCTGGCCTACAGATGACAGTGTAGCCTAGGCTGGACTCCCATTCACAGCCACCCTCCTGCCTCAGCCTCCTAGGTCATAAGATTACAGAGCTATGTTGTCACTTGGCTGGTAAGGCCTTTTCGTAGTAGGTTATTACAAAGTTCTTCTTGATCCCTAGCTCTTCTGGAAGGAGGTAGAGATCTTCAGATGGCTGCGTAAAGACAGACTAGAAACAATCCGTGAGCCATGTCAAATGACGATTTAGACTGAGCTTTAAGTGAAGTCTGGTTTTGTGTTCATAGACAGACTTGCTCAAAGCCAGCCAGCTTGCAGACACCCTGTCAGTGTAGAGGTTGTGTGGTATATGGAGCCAGTGAGCTTGGCTTCTTCAGGCTTATCGTGGTGTAGGTCGGCCTGGGGCTATTGGAGTGAAGGAGGAGAAAACCCAGAGTATCGCCTTCTAGCTGTGTGCTGGAGTTGAGTGTGATTTACCGAAGGTCAGGGTTTTCTCTTACTTTATGAAGAGGCCAGCTATCCCAATACAAACTGACTTAAAATTGAATTAACTGCTTTATTAAGACTGTGTATTTGTTTTTCATTACGTGAAAAAGGTTGGAGACGTGACACAGTCATGTTATTTCTTTGAACAAAGACTGGATGTTGACTTCTATACCTCAGAGAGCGTGATTTTTGTAGAAGCACTTGCAACATTTAAGTCCCTCTCAATTTTTAAGTATACAAGCCATTATCTTAATAAAAAACAAGTCTAGCTTTCATGTAATCATCTGTGTTGGGCTTTCTCTACTGCAGAGGTCTTATATACATACAGTGTAATTTAGTGTCATTTTGTCAGTTTGGAAGTTTCCACTTTCATGCTCCAAGCTGACTACATTGTATTTGCACTGTATTCTGCAGTGTTAGCCAGTCAAGGTGACCGATAAGAGATACTGGTAACACAAGGCCTGAACAGGACATGACCGTGTTTCTCAGCATTATAATTAGGATGAACTTCACTTCCTAATGCAAAGTGGCAGCTACAGAGATTGAGGTGACTCCTCAGGAAACAGGAGCCCCACCATACCCCAAGTATGTGGTGTTGCCTTTCCTTTTCGC